GCTGACTCGACTAGCTGCCCAGGCACACTGTAGCAAAAGTCCGCACTCCTCAGATGTTCGACCTCATGTGCTTCGAGAGTGACGATGCATGTGCGACAGTGCGACCACTCGTCCCCTCCCCCCACCATGCTGGTCGCATTACCATATCTCCTCACCTGTGCTTCATATCTCCCTTCCGCCTCAACTCCAGCCCACCCTACTCCAACCCAATAAACCTTTCTCAAGCCATCCTCACCGACACATCTCCGTGTCCGACATTCGTGGAAAGCACGTCAAACCTCCTCCATGTCTCGCCAATCCAATTTCTTCCGAGTTCCGCACCCCACATTCGCTTCCGCCAATCTGCGACCACTCAAAGCAAGGCAAGGCAATCTGAGCAGGGCACGGTGCACTGGCAGGTCGACAGTGAGGTGAGGACTCTTGCTCACACAACGCTGCCGCCAATCAGTTATCTCCTGTACCACAAGTTGAGCTCGTAACGACGCAGTCGAAACGACGCCGCATGTAGCGCAAGGTTGTCGCTCTCTTTCTCTCTCCCTGTACATGCATTTTTGCTCCGCAACCCAAGCCGACTTTTCAGAGCCGTCTTCCATCCTTTTGGGCCACTAGAGCCGTCCAAAACACGCGTGAGGTGGACCGCTATGGAGATAAAAGCCGCAGTTGGCTTTCTTTGTGTGTCGTCGCTTGCCTTGTCAATGCGATTCGCACCTTGCGCGCTTCACATTTCTCAGAGCGCGAGCAGTAAACTCCAGGGGGAACGAGTCTTGCAGGACCTTCCACGCCGCCGACCTAGTTAGCCTTGAGTACCACAAATCCTGATAATAGCACAACCTTTCTCCAGGTAGATCCCGACCGGGAGCGCAAGCGCTAGCGATCTCTGATGGCGGCCTTCCCAGGACCGTTAGAACTGGGGGAGAACATGACGGATATCGTGCGAGCCGATGGGCATCTGTGGCTCAAGTACGGGCAGAAGAACATCCACAACACCTCCATCATACGGTACGGGCAAGTTGTCGCGCTGTGGAACACGATGAGCTGCGGTCTTTACAAATTGTAGTATACTAAATGATATTGTCGCTTTTATCGTATCTCAGCGTTGAGCAGCAGTGCTACCACTCTCTCAAACCCTAAACCCTGACTTCCTTTCCACATCCCATGGTGACTGCTGCAGGTGCTACTACAAGTGCTATTCCTCCAAGAACAAGCCTGCCTGCCGAGCGAAGAAGACTGTCGACTACGACCGCCGCCTCCCCATCTCGTCCGCCACCACCCAAACCAAGTACTCCCACCGCTCTCATAACCACTCCACTCCTCTGAACGACTCCGGCGAAGCCATCTCCCAGGGCTCCTGTCCTTCCGACGCTGCAGATTCGAGCTCCATCGCGCAGGGATGCTCCCCCAACTCTGCAAAACCCAGCTCCTGTAACTCTTCTGCCGTGATTACCACCCATAACACGCTCGCTTCCCCTCCGAACATTACCGGAACCCGCCTTGAACCATCCGCACGTGCAAGCAGCGCTCCCTCCAGAGGGGAGCTCCCCGGACCCGCCAGCTCCGGAGGCGTCGTTTCATCCTCACTTGAAGCCGGCTCCGCTCGGCCTGTCTCGCTGACGGATGCTGATGCCGAGGCGATTGCGGCAAATCTCTTGCCGCAAAGCATTGCCTTCACTAGCAGCAGCGAGTCAGCTGCTCTGGCGCCGTCACCCGCGATCTCGTCTCTGTTCAACTCCTGCGAATTGTTGCCAACTGAATCCGAGAATCTCTGCCACTTTTTCGCCGAAAATTACTCTCTGGGTGGGCGCTGGCCATGTGCCGAGAAGAGGGTCCGTCTGACGCCCTCAGACGAGGCAACATCTACTGAGGTCGTACGCTACTCAGCAGGTTACCACTGCCGCCCCAGCAGTAGGGTTTTTGAGGCATTGTCTGCTGATCCGGATCAGTTGTTTTTCCCTGAGCCTTTCAGCCCTCGCACAGCTGATGCTGCAGATGACGTTGTTTTCGGATTAGCCATCAGCGGCACGCCATTCGACGGTGGTCTTGTGGCGGCGAGTCCAGAAGAAGGAAGAGCACGAGGGCTGGCGCATGGAGACGATTCTTTCGAGGATTTCCTTTCTGAATTGACCCCAGAGTTGGATTTCGAGAATTTCTGGCGTGAGGAGCCGCCTTGGCTGGAAGCAGCGGATGTGAGTCCTTCATGGGAAGCATTGGGCAGGTCAGATGGCAGTTCATCCCATGGTAGCCAAGAGCCCCACCGGATTGGCTTGAAGCGCTGTGTTTCAGCAATGCTGACTGGCACTGAGACAGGAAACATTGATGGAAGCACTCCTGGTCATGTTTGTGTGCCCAGGCCCATGTCGACATCAAGTAGTGTGCATAGCGTGTTCAGCTTTCTGGGTGGGAGTGACACCTTGAGTGTTTCTGACTTAATGAAGGATCTGTAGTTACCATGGCCTGTTGCGGATAGACAAAAGCAACCCTAAGGGTTCCTTTCATGAGCGCTGACGGTGGAAAGTCTAGGGGCTAATGTTTTTGCATGATGAGTTCATGTTGCAGGCATATTTGTGATGAAATATACCATGTATGTACATAGCTGTCCTACGGCTCTCTCAACCAGTTCTCTCTCTCTCAAATGGTCCTGACATTAATAGTCCAAGGAATAGAAACATGCATGGTGAGGCAAAGATACCCAAGGCTGATAAAACATGTACGATCTAGGCTAACAACCTAGCTGGTCATCTAGAGCTTCACCAGAGGCTCTAGTACGGCAAGCGGTCCCCGAGGTACAATTCAGCCTGTGTACCCCCCACCGGGGGGTTCTCTGCTACTGCTGCTTGGCTGGACTTAATGAGGTAGCCCACTGACTGGGCCCTCTGTAGTGCTACTGACCACCTCTGCCTGAACTGGTGGGGGAACTTTGCAGCCTGAAATTAGTTGGGGTCGGCATTGACATAGCGCCGGGCTGCAGTATCCGCCAGGAGCTTCAGGAACACCGGCACATCTGCACATGGGCAACCGTATGCTTTTACAGCCAAGGGGAAGAAGCCAACCGTGTCAGGCCGGTTAGCATATTCTTATCTGCCTGCTCCCTTGCAGCCCATCCGCTGCCCTTAGTTGCCTCCGGATCCCTAGTGCTGATAGGATCCGTGATTGTTACGTCACAGATCCACACTGCCCCCGAGCTCTTGTCCCTGATAGTAAGGTCTGCCGTACGCTCCTCAATCGGGCAGTATGCGGCCGATTCACCGTGGACAATGAAGCCTGCATCCTTTGCCATGCTGATGCATGCATCCTGCAATTCGTTGTGGGTGTTGATACAGTGCTTGCCTGTACCGCAGCAGAAGAGATGGTTGGGCAGTTTAGGGTTGGTGATAGCTGTGTGGTCTGAGCAGTCGCAGTTCGCCGGCATTGAGAAGGGTAAGCCGAGCCGGAAGCTAACTGCATTAGCGAAATGCTCAGGGCCTATGCGCTGCGTCGACGCAATGGGGATGGCGTGTTGCCAGTCTCAAGAGAGAAAATCCGCTGCTTATGTATTGACAGCAGGTTGAGTCTCATGCGCCGTGTCTCCTGCACCTGTACGGCGTATCTGCTCCCCTGCACTTTCAGCGAGAGCGGGTGCTGCAGCTTTACTCCAGTCGGCTCCAGCCTTTCCTTTTCTAGTAGCTCTAGGGCGTCTGTGGGCAGGGCCGACTCGCACTTCGTCAGCCATGCGTGGAGGGAGGAGGTGTTGTCACGGGGCAACAGCATGTGGTTCTTGACTGTAGACAGGATATCATCTGACGCCAACGGCAGAGAGCTAAGAAAGAGGGCCGCCTGGGTAAAACTAGCTAAGAAGCCGAAAATGCTCTCTACTGTTGGATTAGTGAGGCTGATCCCGCCTAGCGACGGCGGGAGTGATGCCTGCGCCCACACGCGCGATTGCTCCATGTTACACGTGGGGACGCGTATGTTGCACGACGCAAGCAAAGTGGCTAGGAGGTCCCTGCCCCACTGTGACCATGTCTCATGAGGTAGGAGATTGAGCGGGGTAGTCCGTGTCAGATAGGCTACGCGACGTGAGATGCAGCAGTGATGCAACATGTGGGTCTGTGCGTTCCAGGAGCGGTAACGGCTTCGCCTTCCTCTGAGTTGCTCCCCTAGGAATTTGGCGGCGTCGTCAGGTGGTCCTAGGTATGCCAAGGACATCGCCAAAATCCGAGGTCCCTAAAGCTGCCCGAATCCATCCCGCAAGAGACATTCTGGACACATTTGGGGGTTGTCCCGGAAGTGTCTTTCAGGAATTCTGGGGTGACGTTTCAAAGAGTCCCATTTCTGTCCCGCAAGACTCCTTCTCATCTGCCCAAAAGGCTCTTGCGGGACGGATTCGGACAATTCTGAGACAGTCAAGAAACACATTCAGGACACATTCGGGACAATGCACCAGCCAATCATATCCGACCACGCATTGAAATGCGCGATTCGGGAATGGGCAAGGCTGACATGCGGTTCGGGTAAATGCTGTCACTAATATTAATAATGGTCACAAGCACACATTTTTAGCTAGTACACTAACTGGGTCACAACATGAAAGGTCCACCTTATTATCAACAAAATCTCATCTGCTGGCCATCAAAACCTCATCTCGGTCTAATGAGCCACGGGCTCGGATCCTCCTCCTCAGTCCCAGGGTTACGGCATAGTTCTCAGGCCTATACTCGCTTAAATCACTCTCATTAATATACAACCCTTCTGTCCCCCAGCGGAATGCCCTCAATACGGGGTCGTACCACTGTCCCCGTGCCGCATCCAGCCACATCCGAATCACCTGCCACACTCTGTCCGTGGCAGTCTTCATGCAAGTCTCCGTCTCGAGCGGACTCCCGCTCAAGTGCATGGTAGAGTCTCGCAGGTTTTGCAGTCCAAAATCCACCTGACGTGACATTAGTAACAGAACAGGTACTCAGGCCGTGGGGGGGGTTGGTCCAAACATAAAGCGTCAAACAAAGGTGCCGTTACATACGTACCGACATCATGACCCATGCGATGTGATAGGGCACAAGCACAAGACAAGTCCCGCGCTCCCACTCTGGGTATGCCGCGAGACACGCATTCATGAAGAGCGCATTGGTGAAGGGCCTCCGGTCCCTTTCAGCGTGACTCCAGAAGGAGATCAGAAATCCTGCGTGCATCCCTGCCATACACAGGCATCGGGCGCACCCGGAGGGTTACGGTAGTGATAGCGGACATCGCTATCCATGCGCAGGGAATTGAACCTTTTGCCAACCTGCATAAAACTCAAACCAGGTCCTCATCCCCCCCCCCCCGCACACAACCAAATCCCCTCCACCCTCCCCCCTCCACCCGACCACGCACTCGGACCATATGACCGCCAGAGTGAGGCCTTCTTGACGGGGTGGATCTCCTGCTTGTACGGGCCACCGGCATCGATCTCAAGCGCGGTGAGGATGACATGTCGCGCTTCCGTAGATGATTCATTCCAGAATTTCGAGAACACCTTGCCGACCTTGCCACTGTATTTCGTCTTCCCCATAGCCACCCTGATGTCGATAGCCACCACGTCGTAGTGTCGCCGCAGGGATAGGCGAAGGGCCTTGTTCCGTACGCCGTTCTTCGGGAAGTATGTGACCGCCTTTGCCCGGGTGTGGCGCACCATCAGCTCCCACGCGTGCTTTGCGTACTCCTGGGTTTAGGCATCAATAAGGGGGCATGCAAGAGCCATATTACATTATACAGATGCGCATTTGGATATGGAATACACCACGCCAGCAATGGGCAGTCTGTCACCACAAACTACTTACATGGATATGCTCATCCGATGGCATCCCTCTAGGAAGACCGGCTACCCGTGTGTCAGGGTCGTAGTCCACCACGATGTACACCGCCGTATCGTCGCCCCTGTCACGTTTCCCGCCACTTCGCACGAGGGCGCCCACTGCAGGTCCGCCATGAGCGCTCACCCGCGGGTCGCCTGCGCATTCGCCGTGCGCCCCCAATCCACGACTTGCACCGCCCGCCGCACCTTCCTGCCTGGGGGGAACCCCAGTCCTGAGAGAAGGGGTTAGCGGGTTGTTGAATAGCATCCTCTTTAGCGGTCTATCATGCGGTTCCTTCGTCAAGCCACGCGTTGCGACATTGTGGTCCGACGCTTCCGCGGGTGAATCAGCCAGAGGGTCATACAGCAGGGGATTGGCAGGTAAGGGGACCTCAAGTGCTTCATCTGACGCCCCAGGAGTCTTGGTCCGCCCACCAGCTGCTCCGCGATACGACGGCTTCACCTCCGTCTTATGCGGGGCCGTATCTGCAGGCATTCCCGGCGGCGTGAGCGGGTGCGACACGGTAGGCAATGGTACGGATTTGCCCGACGTCGGCTCCTTCTTCGGTGTCACGTACTCCGCACTGGTTGACGCGGGCTCCTTGTCCGCTTCCATCTGGTGCGTTCCGCGGGTGCCTCTCATCTGCGCCACCATTTGCTTGAGTTCACGCATCTCCTCCTCCAGCTCTGCAACCCGCCGAGTCTCAGGTGTCGCCCCGCGCACATCTCGCTCCTCATCTCCTTTCCCACCTCCGTGCGATGCAGATGCGCCGGACTCTCGGGCAGGTGAAGCTTCCACGCGCCGAACCGGGGTGTAGTTTGCCGGGCCCTGTGACGGTGGTGAGCTTATAGGGACAGACCGGGGAGAACTGAAAGGAGCTCTCCCAGGAGAGCAGAATGCCGCATGATCCATTGCACTACCCGGATGTGACGGCCTAGCCTGCACTTGGTCACGAGAAGCAACAATGTTACGTGAGGGTTCAGACAGTGCAACGGGTGGGATGGGCAGGGGTTTAGATGGATTGACGACCGGCTTAGATGCGCCCGCCCCTGTCGCAGACATCACAGGGCCTGCGATTGCCGTATGCGTCTGACCGATCCCATTCTTGGACTGCCTGGGACCGGGCGGGCTTTTCCCTACTTCAGTTGCGGTGTCAACATCTTCCAGCCATGCCCACTCGTCCCCCAGCAGGTGCGTCGTAACTTGCTCCATGGGACCTTCTCCGTCCTCCTCCTCAACAGGATCCTCAGCTGTTTCTCCAACATCCACGTCCACCAGGGATAGCCGCTCCCCCTTCAGCATAGCGGCGCGTAAAGCGCTTTCGCTCAAATTGTCCACCCCCGTGTCAGCATACATCGTGATGAAGTCCCTTGTACGCGCGGAGGTCCGGTTCTTGTGCGGGACCACTCGCCGAACAGTCGACATTGGATCGGGAGCGTCTTTTGTGGTACTCTTCCTTGTTCCTGGGCGCTTTCGCGCCTTGATTTCGCCTGCGGCCTCGGTGCCGTTGGGTGTGCCTGGAGGGCATGCGTGGGAGAAAGAAGGACGATCGTTGTCTGAATCGGTCACTACGTCGTCGTCAGACGCCACCCACTCATCCGCCTCGGACGCGGAGCATTCCGATTCAGTTAGGCACCGACTACTAGTACCGTTATCCTCCGTATCTGCATCCGTGCACGGCGAATGCGGCACGGTGTACAGCCGTCCGTTGAAATGATACCACGCGCCAGGATTATGGTCTTGACTACGCGGCCATCCAAGCTCAGTTCCGCCACTATTATCATGGTAGTCCCCAGGGTCGCCTTCAACAGCGCACTTGATTAGTGTAACGTCAGCATCTGGCAAGCATGGTGGGGCGATAGCGGAACAGCAAAACATCAGACGGTGACAAAGACCGAAAGAGGGGATCACGACATGCCAAACATCAACAGCCCACACTCACCCTTCTTAGCCGTCCCCTCGTCCTTTCTGCCGTCTTCTGGCGACGCACTATCCTTGGACGCCTTCACACGGCGTCGACGATTAGCGTCTTGCTCCTTCAGCACAGTCTTATACGGGATTCCGTACGGCTGACGACGGTCAACTACGGGCTCGCCAGCAACGACGACTTGGATACGCCCCGCGATCTCTGGTGGGAGATGCCCCTTCATAGTGGGCGTCTTTTTTCGGTAGGCGCGGACAAGTGCGCGTGTGTCTAGGACTCCGGCAACCCATTTAGGGTCTACTGGTCTGGTTTTTGTCTTCGGAACAATATAGTCTTTTAAAAAGTTGGGAACTCTTCTCTCGCGTACCGGGCGCTCGGGAGGTGATGACATGATTAATCTCTAAAACACATATGTCTTAATAGTGTCCCAAGAACGAGACCCTTGAAGGATTCGGGATGGAGGCACTAGAAATGGTTTCGGGAAAGTACTGCAGAAAACCACTTCCATCAATCACACAAAAGCTGTGGGATCGTGCCTCATTGGATATGTAGCCGTGGATGCGAACCCACACATGCTCGGGATACCGTAGATTTTGTGCTCAGCGAGGCAGGACATTGTACATTGAACGCGCCGCAAGGCGGCGGCCAACAATGCCGTGGCCTTTCGAGTGCAGGGTTGTTGGGTAGTCCGACGACGCGCGTTCCAGTTGTAGGTTCGACACTCTCCCTGTAAACCAACAAGCTTGTCGAACCAGGCTGTACCAGGGTTTGACAAGCCACATCATCGATTCATAGGCTCGGCAATGACAAACCGGGTCACACGATTGGGATAAAACACACACAACCATGCAAATGTGACACCTGTACATGCATGCTTCACCAACGGCGAATGTTGCCATCTATTGCAAGACCTTTCCCCACAACACATGTGCCTGGGTTAATGTAACCCCTGTACATTCCACCATGTTACCAACGAATTCGGACAGCAGTTTGGTGAAAATCGTTCGGCCCTCTTCATCCCCATCAAACAATCTTCTAACTTTGGATTGCTGCAATCGTCGTTCCTTTATCGTACCTCTTTAATATCATCTCCAGCACTCATGGAGGGCGCGTCAGCCGAGCCCGAGCCGCCCCGATCCCAGGGTCCAAGCTTTAAGTACATGATGCCCTACCCTTTAGGCAGTAGTTGGTTCGATATGTGTGTAAGCCACGCTCACACGCTGCTTGGAGACGAATGGGTCTGTGGTGACGTCATCGATTGGTTCGGAGTGTAAGCCTTCCTGCTAGAGAGCTCAGTCATCGCGTAACGTGCATACACTTTGCGACCGTACACTAACCATCAATCCCCCGCTATCTGCTCAACAGCATGCTACAGTTTGAACGTGACATGGAAGACCACACGTGGCTCTACGTGTCGACGTTATTCTACCCGCAGATTTCGACACCGTGTCGAACATGGCCAACAAGCAACATCGCACACGGAGAGAACGTGATTGTCTGGAGTTGGGTGCTTATCCCTCTTCATTTTGAGTTAGTTAAGGGTTCGCGCTATGCCTGCATCGTAGCCACTTACAGCGATCCCAAAAATCTCAGTAACGCAATGTCTCAAACAGCATTTCCTTCCGTACACGCATGCAGCAACCACTGGAGTCTGCTCATCCTGGACAATGACAACCACGCTAAGGACGGCACCTTGCCGAAGCCAACACGCGTGGTGCACGCGGATTCCATGAACATGCATAAGGGTTTCCAACGTCACATTACAAGGTGGCCCTATATGTTTAGACATTTGGCAACAGTTTCGCCTGTTGTCTTATGTTCGCACCGAGTTAATGCTTACACAAGTGTAAACGCAGATACTTGAGGGATCAACTCGTGGGCATCCGCCCAGAGGTCAGTGACGATGCTGCGGACGAATGGGTCTCCGGCTTACAGTTTGTGAAAGCAAAGGTACAGACATGGCATTCACAAGGAATATACAGCTCCATGTGTCCCGGTTGTGGTGCCATCAGATATGCCATTAGCCCCTTTTTTACATTGTTCCTGCAGATACCTGCACAGAGGAACACGTGGGACTGTGGTGTGTTTGTTATGAAGTTCATGCAATTGTTGGTTGAGTCTGACTTCGAATCAGTCGAGAACATTCGTCTGTACGGCGACTCAGTCGACTGGCGCAAGGAAATATTCGAAGATTTATTTGACTGGAGCGTCTTCTATGAGGAGCATGTGTCTGTGCAGCGAGATGGATTAGTCACTAGCCTGGGTCTCTTAATACGGCATTTGTCTGCCATGTACCGCTTATAGTCGAACGTGTACGCGTGAAGCGTTCAGGCAATAACCTTATGTTTGGAAAAACGTACTATCTCATACAATTTCCTCGTAGGTCTGCACGACACCGAGAGGACAATACAGTATATCAGACTTATCGGTGTCTTACCTGCTGGGTTCGGGTTTGTGCAGTAACAAACCTGCACCAACATTGTGGCGTGCATGTTGTTCAGCGAAAGGTCGCCACCTTGTCAAACCCTAGATCGATTGGTAAAACATTCTCAACCATCAACATGGACCGTAGTAGGCGTTCTCGTGATAAGCAGTCACGAGCGGCGTATTTTCGCCGGCACCCAACAGTAGGAACTATCGAGATTGCGCCTGATACTGAGTATCCAGAAGATCCCGATAGTACGGAGCTGCCACGATCGTTCTGGGGTGTAGCTCCACGCCCCATGATCCCACCGTCACCACCGAAAAGCCATGATAGTATATTGATGGCTGGCGAGGGACAGGAAGAAAGCGGAGAAGACGAGGGTCCAGCGGAGCCAGAAGCGGAGGACCCTGCACCCATTGGTCCGGAGGACGAAGAGACCCAAGACCAGGGGCCTAACGCACCGGTTGCGGTTCAACCTACAGATCAGGACGAACCAGCGCAGACAGGGGACACGGATCCAGTCGACGACGCGCCATCAGCGCATGATGATCAGCGACCAAGGGCGAGTCGTATCCGCGCGGCAGCCGCACCAGAAGAGACGACCAGAGGTCCACGGCCTGTGGCATTGCCCGTCCCCGCTGTCGACGCACGTGTGGCACACTCGGAGGGTGAGTTTTTCTAAAGTACGCATATGCCAATTCCTTTTATAACCAATGTTAATTTAGCATCTTCGCTCTTGCAGTTAGGGCCCCAACCGCCGCGCGCGAGCGTAGGGCGTCACGCTCATTCGAGTGTTTCCCAACCAGAAGTCCCATTGGCTGCTCATCAAGGTGCATGAGATGGCGCATCTTCCCGACTTGATCCGCACTCGGGGAATGCCGCAAGAATATTCAACGAACATGGGGGAGCATTCGCACAAGACGGAGGTGAAGCGTCATGCGCGGAACTCCAATTGGCGCGACGTGGGCCGTGACATCGCCGTGCGGCACGAACGTCTTGCCGCCATCAAGGATCTGACCAAGCAAGAGGGCGGAGGCAAGACGTACGAGACAGCCATGCGCCTAGTGAGTTGTGAACCGCACAAAGTTGCCAACGGTCTAACGGCCCAGCCAGTGTGATACGCTAGTGCACGCCTGTCAATCAACTCGCGTACGTACATCCCTTACGTAGGCATGGCTGAATGTGTCAATGGTTTCCCCCCCGGACAGGCTATCGACCGCAACGAGCGTGTGCTCACCAAGACGTTTCGGGGAATGACCCTCGGAGCACCGTACGACCACGCGTGGACCTCGTACAAGTTGGCGCTAGGCGAGGAGGTGATGCTGAAGTTTTCCAGGGAGCTGGCGCGGTCGAGGATAACGGTGACACGCCTACATGTGAGCGCACCACGTCGCTTCAGCCCATGCCCTATGACTAGGACCACTGGCAGGGTTGCTTTGCCCTAAACCCCATTCACTTGTTGTGCTTTGGCATGCAGGTGCACACAGCACTGGCGATCCCTCCCCACGACCGGATGGACAGGGGGGACCATGGGCAGTTGGTGAAGGCCGCCCCTGATGAAAGGAAGTTCAGCCACATTCGCATTCAGGGGGGCGGTGCGGTGTGGTTCGGGCGGGTACTGGTTCTCTTCCACTTCACGGGTCCGGACGGTGACCTGATCCAGCGGGCATTTATCAAGTACTACGATGAGGTCGAGCCACCTTGTCCAGTGACTGGTTGCAAGCGTCTCTTGCCGACGACTGGGGTCGATGAGTATGCTGTGATCGAGTTGGAGAGCATCTTGCGCCTTGCTCACATCGTGCCATCCTTTGTTGACTCCCAGTACCTTCTGGTCAACAGGTTTTTGTTTTAGCGTAAGCATCAGAGGCTGTAGGGTAACTGATTTTGACGTGCAGGCGCTCTTGAGTGGGCGCCAGACCTCGCCTTGCCGACAGTGCTGTGCATGCTATTTTAAACCCAAACTGCAACGGGTTTTCCTGTCCGGTACGACACATGTGGTATCCGGTAACCCCAAGTCATCCTTTAGGGAAAATATTGCTACGGCTGTGATATTTGACCGTATTTTATGTAAACATTGGTGCGAATGATTTGTTTATTTTTGCACCATGGCTTTTTTCAGAGTGTCTGGCTGAGTTGGTTTCGTCACATGTGAAGGATGTTTTGGGTTCCGAGTGTAAAATAAGTTGCATAAAGGTCCTTGTAATTTCAATAAAAGAACTAGACGTACGCATTAATGGGATGTAGAGTATATCGAAATGCGGTTAGTTGAATGTTGTCGTGGGGGGAATCGAACTCGCGAGCTCTCGTACCGTCAATTTCTGCACCCACTGGGACACTCCCATAAAAGACTATTTTGGAGGACAGTTTCAGGACATTTTGAGCAGGGCGGCTCGAGCGAAGGGGGGGGGCGGGAATCACTGTAGAGGACAAATTTGGGAGGGGGCACATTTGGGACACCCAACACACCTTCCCAAAAATTTCTTTCGGGAACAAGGACGTTTGTGGGACAGATTTGGGACTCCTGTAAATCACTTGTGGGGAGGTGATTTTGGGGGGAGGGTTTCGGGACGTCAACATTTTGGTCTCGGAGACGAACACCATCGTCGCAGAACGGTACTGTTATAGTCACAATAGGCTTGAATGTGCCTAAAACGAAAGATAGAGAGCACAGACGGATTTCTGCACAGCGGCTTCAAACGTTGATAGCGTTCTGCTCACAGCTGCAAATGACTTGATTCAAATTGGATCTGGAGCGTCTTCACGTCGTCTACAATTAGCAATTTAGATTGCACGATTTGATAAAGAATTGACGACACAGCGTCAGTTTGAACGAACTGTACTATGGCAGCCACTATAGTCTTAGAACACAAGATAGGAAGAGTTACGAGTTGGGAATGACTCCCAGCTCCTACAAACCCCAAGAGCCGAGGTACAGTGATGTGGAACAGTGCCACACTGTCCCCAACCACGAAGGGTCTCGAAACTACCCTTCACTAGGGCCTACACCAAGTGAAATGTTACACTACACAAAGTAATGTAACTATCTTCAATATCTTGAGGTGTACCCTTTTGGCAAGCTTCGAAATCACTTGAGGCTTGACACCAAGGCTCGGGCTCTTCATCACAAACTCATCCTTGAGTTCTTGATGGGTCTGCTGCACACACCTGCGACACGCCGAACGTTCGACACAGGACAAAATAGAAACCGCGCACGACAAAATAGAAACCGCGCGCGAGACACAAACGACCGCGTAACACGCGTAGCGATAACTCGCTATTGACTCGACACACACACTCGACATCATGACTCAACATTCACACACAATTATAAGCATGAAATATATATTATCCCATGCCCTCATACCATTCCATACACACACACATTCACGCACACGGACAACAAGCCGAGTGCAAACCGTAGGGTTGCACCAACAAACTCCCCCTCGGATTGTTGGCCTTAGGATATGTTGCTCTCTCAGTTCAGAGCCATCCCAGCCAGCTTGCAACACTTCCAATGCTGCTGATCCACCAGCCTCTTGGTCATCATGTCAGCCGGCTGCCCCGTGGTCTTCACGTAGCGCAACTCAACTTCACCCGCGGTTACCATGCTCCTCGTCCAATGCCACTTCACCCTCATGTGCTTCGTGAGTCCATGCAACACAGGGTTCTTAGCAAGAGCAATGGCACCCTGGCTGTCACAGTACAGTGGGGTAGGTCCTTGCTGCTCCTCCCCCAATTCAGCCAACAAACGCCGCTGCCACACAATCTCCCGTACGGCACGGAAGAGTGCCATGTACTCGGACTCCACCGAGCTCAAAGCTTGGTCAACCTGCTTCTTGCTCTCCCAAGCAGTTGGGCCTCCACCAACACAGCATATGAACCCTAAAACACTTGTCATGTCCTCTGGTTCTGATGCATATGAAGCATCCGAGTAGGCGGTGAGGAACAAACGCCCGGGTTCAACACCATCCGCGCCCTTTTGGCGCCTTTGTGCCGCCGCCGAGTATTGCAGCCCAACGGTCGGTGTTTGGCCAAGATACTTGGCCACCCTCATTCCAGCTGCTACCTGCTCCTCATTAGGGCATTGCACAACCCTAGCCAGCTGCCCGGTAGCAAACGCGACGTCCGGTCGGGTGTTTACCGCCGCATACATGAGGCTGCCCACCAACGAGTGAAATCGGCGCCTCTCCTCTTCACCAACGCTCTCCTCCTCTGGTCCCTTCACACACTTGAACCCAGAGGGAAAGGGTGTAGCCACATGGCCTTCACTCTGCCCAAAGTTGGCAGCCAATGCCTCCAGGTACTTTCGTTGATGCACCCGCATGCACCGCTTCTCCACATCTCGTTCGATGTGGAGCCCAAGGTAGAAGCTCACGTCACCAAGGGCCTTGCACTTGAACTTGTCTTGAAGCTTCAGCATCACCTCCTTCACAAGGTCAGAAGAGGGTGAGAAAATGAGGATGTCATCCACATAAACCACCATGAAACTCCTCTGCTCCCCCTCGCCAAGCATGAACAAGGAGTGATCGGCCGTTGAGGGAGTGAAGCCGATCCCCTCCAACACTTCGCGCAGCTTCATGTACCATTGCCTAGGGGCCTGCTTCAGCCCATAGAGGGCCTTCTTCAGCTTCCACACTCTGCCACTACCATCATCAAACCCCTCTGGCTGCGCCATAAAAATCTCCTCCTCAAGGATGCCGTTAAGGAATGCCGTTACGATGTCCATTTGCTTTACTACCCATCCTTTGATGGCGGCTCCCGCGAATAGGGTTCGCAGCGTCGTCGGCTTCACCACAGGGGCAAACAGCTCCTTGAAGTCCACCTTCTCCTTCTGCTGGTACCCCTTGGCTACAAGCCTAGACTTGTAGCGCTCGATCTTGCCGTCGGCATCCGACTTGATTTTGAAGAGCCACTTGGACGTTATCGCCGTACGCCCCTCCGGTAGCTCCACCAATTCAAACGTGTCATTCTCCTCGATGCTCTTCAGCTCACTCTCCATGGCCTTCTTCCACTCCTCAGCATCACTACTCTCCAAAGCCTCCTTGAGAGTTGCTGGTTCTCCCGGCATCTCCACCGGAGAGAAGAACGCGAAGGCACACTCCTCGTAGTCACTCTCCTCGTCGTCTCCGACCATCATTGCCGCTCCGGCCAGGGCTGTCTTGCCCTGCTTTCCCGGCGCATCATAGGTCAGCCTATTAGGGGGTTGAACTCTCCTCTTCCCCCTTCCTTCCTCCTCAGCTGCAGGGACTTGAAGGCCTTGGCGTTGCTGCGGTGTGGCTCGAATCCGTGGAGCACTCGTAGTACGGGAAGGGAGTGACGGTGCACGCTCGCTCACTTGCTGCACCTCCTCCTCTTCTTCCTCTGCATCATTGGCCTCCTCTCCCCCATTCACAAGGGAGGATTGCCTTGTGGTTGTGCTGCCGCTGCTCAGCTCCAAAGGCAGCTCCACATGCTTCAAACCGGAACTCTTCACCTCCCCAAACCGCACGCCTATCTTCGCCTCATTCTCCGCCTTCCAATCCTTGTACATGAAGTTCTCCATGAACTTGCAGTCCCTGCTCACCAAGAACTTCTTGCTGAATGGGTCCCAAAGAAGCCATCCCTTGCTGTTTTGAGCCATGCCCAAGTGCACGGCCCACACCGCCTTGGCACCAAGCTTGTTGTGCCGAAGATGCTTAGGCACGAGCGCCATGCACATGCACCCGAACACCCGAAGCATATCCACCTTTGGCTTCCTTCCTAGCCACTCCACATAGGGCACCCATTTGTCTGCTCCTACATGAGTCAAGGCTCTGTTCTTGGCCACACACGCGCTCCGCACCGCATCAGGCCAGAAATAGTCGGGTAGCCCGGCTTCAATGAGCAACCCGCGTGCCGCCTCCGTGATTGTGCGGTTCGCTCGCTCGGCGATGCCGTTCATTACAGGGGAGTATGGCATGGTGAGGGAGTGCCGAATACCATTCTTCTTCAGCCACAACCCAAACTCCTTGCTCAGGAACTCTCCCCCTCGATCGGTGCGGATTGACTTGACTAGACGGTCTTGTTGCCGCTCCACCATCGGGAACCAATCCGTCTTCAACGTTTCAGCCACGTCGCTCTTCTTGGCCAGCACGTACACCCAAGTCATGCGGGTGTAGACGTCGACAATGGTGAGAAAATACTCAGCTCCAGCAGCTCCAAGCTTCAGGGGGCCCACCACGTCCATCACCACCTCATCAAGCGGTGCCTTTGCCGTTGCCTCCGAACTAGGGAACGGAAACCGGGTGAACTTGGCTTGAATGCACGTCGGGCAGCCAAGCACCTCATCGGGCTCCCCCTTCACACGTATGCCAGCAACCATCTCATTCTTCACTAGCTGCTGCAAGATGGGCAGGGCCACATGCCCCATGCGCCGATGCAAGGTGAGCCAATCACACTCCCCCGTAGCCGAAGTTGGATTGGAGAATGCCGCGCTCGCAATAGCGCCCCACATACTCTCTCCGTAGTCCTCCTCCGCTGCTGCCTCTGGGTTCTCCTCACCCTTTTGCTGCTCCTTGGTTGCTGCACCACTCTCCTTAGGTTCACTGAACTTGCTGGTCCCTCCAGGTTTGCTCTTCTTGAGCTCATTCTCCTTAGCGCGACCGTTCGCTCCATCGTCGCTACCGACCGCTCCATCCTTGGTGCTGATGCTTGCTGCCACTTGCCTCTCCTTAGGCATAGGGACCACTGGGATCTGCCACATCTCGTTGTAGACATCCCTGTCCTCATGAAGGTCCCAAAGAATTCGATCGCCAAGCCTTGCGGTGTAGGTCTTGGCTCCCTTCGAGTTCGTGTCCATGCCGGCCTTTGCCAACCGCCGCACGGAAATCAGGT